TTCCTTCCTTCCTTCCTTCCTTCCTTCCTACCTACCTACCTACCTACCTACCTACCTACCTACCTACCTACCTACAGTAACTTTTCTATGTGTGGCTTAACCTTGCTCATGAGGCACAGGGAATTTTAAAATAGTTTCTAATTCCCTTTATTTGTTGTGAACAGAAACTAAATTGTCCAATGGCTACCATTTTGCTCTTATAAGCTTAGACATTGGCTGTGAGTTTATGTCCCCACTTTTTAAAAAATTTTTTTCAAGATAGTTTGCTGTGGTATTCCAAGCAGCTTTCTGGTATGCCTTTCCATTTCCAGTCCAATAAGATCAACACACTTTTCCATTGTGGATCGTTTTGAGTTTCATGCATGAAAGCTAGAATTGAGGTCATTGAAACTGATTTTCAGGGAATGTATGACTTAAAGGGTGTGTTTTGTGCTTCCTGAAGCTTATTTAAAGTTTGTATAATAATAAAGCTTGAAAGCTTTTATCAAGTGTCTTTTCCTCCCTCCCTGTTCCCTTCTTTACTTTGTGCTCTCCTCCCTTCCTTGTATATGCTTAATTATAAGGGAGTCCTATGGACTACTTTGAAAAGTACTCCCTTAAAGCAGGGGTCCTAGAAATCGATCTTTCCAAAGGCTCAGATATCAGGCGTATATAAAATGTTGAATCTCTAGTGTCTTATAAAAAATACTGTATCTGTAAAAATTAAGGTAGCATTGTAAGCTTTACATATAGCATCTTTTTCATTTTGCTTTGCTATTGATTTGTGATGAACTCGTGTTTTATCAGTGATGTGTGATGCTATGTTTTAAATTATAAGGTAGTTAGACTTCAAATGTATTCATCATCTTTCATTTGCTCCTTCCTACAAAGCTCCATTTTTAAATACACTTATTTTGTATGTGGCATCTGCCTACTTTTAAAAAATAACAAACATAAAATAGCTCACTAATACTTAAGAGCATTTTTTTTTCTATAAAGGTAATGAGGCAGAAGCTAACATATTCGGCTTTGGTTTATATATCCTGACAGAGCACATAGTTCTACAAGTTCATCACTGCCTACTTCAGAGACAGCAGCATCTTTTGTTTGCAGCTTAGTCCAGCCATTTACCTATATGACTTGGGTCAGTGATTTGACTTCACTGAGCCTGTTTCTTCACCTATAAATTATGAGGTGCTGTTTTGCTTAGCAAAGTATATTTTTCATTAGAAGACCTCAATAAATGGTTAGTCGCTGTTCATATTAGCTAATTTAAGTATTGATGGTACTATTTTCAGAATTGGACACAGCATTAAAGGACTCAGACTACCTACCTCTCTACATGCAGGAATCTCATTCAATACTATCCTTTTGATGTGGCCACCCACCCTCTGCTTGAATACTTCTGGGTACATGGCACAAAGGAGTTTTTTTCATCATCAGAGAGTGCTATTGTTAGATCTTACATAGAGCAGATATCTGTCACCCCTGTAACTTTTACATCTTTCTTAATTCAGTTTCTTAGGCTCATATATAATTTATCTAATTCTGTTCCATGCAATGGCCTGGCTGCTTTTGTGTTTTTTTCTTGTTTTTCTTTTTGTTGTTGTTCTGATGTAACGCTAAATTAAAAAAAATATTTTCTTAACAATTATAACTATGAATGTCCTATAGTATTTTGTTCCCCTCTTAGGTCCTCAGATTTGTAGAGTGTGTTCATGAAAGACTTGGGTACCTGTGAGGAGGGACAACTTCCTCCTCCTAAACCTGGACTCACTGCTATTGAGTCAATGCCAACTCATAGCGACCATATAGGACAGGGTAGGACTGCCCTATGGGTTTCCAAGACTGTAATTCTGTATGTGAGTTGAAAGCCCCATCTTTCTCCCTTATCTGGTGGTTTCAAACTGTGGACTTTGCAGTTTGTAGCCCAGTGTGTAACCTCTATGCTATAGACAGCCTTACAGATCATGCTTTTTTGTTTTTAATTTTTGTCTATATGACCTGATTTTTATAAAATTGGAGAGAATGGATATATTTTTCTCCATAAGTCCTTGCTTCTTATTTTCTAAAATTCCAGGTAAAAAGTAATTGAGCTATATGCTTGTGCTTTGTATACCATTTTAAAGCTTACTATACTACATGTATACTGCACTTTAATTAAGAGGTGGTCTGGATGATTACAGACCACTGACATGAAAATTTGATGGAAGTAGCTCCCATACTGAACCACACAGCCAATCCCACTGTCTGAGAGTTGATTCTGATCCGTGAAGACCATACAGGGCAGGCTGGAGCTGCTCTCTAGGGTTTCTGAAGCTTCGAGTCTTTACTGAAGGAGATTGCCTCA